CCCAGCCCGGCCCAGCAGGCGCAGAGAGGCAGAGACAAGTCCCCGAGGCGCCATGCTTTATTCTCAGGGGTGGAGAAGTAAAGGAGGGGAGCTTGGGGGACAGGGCGGCCAAGGGGACGCGGGGTTGTTTGTGGGCAGGTGGCCCAGCGGGGCCAGGCCAGGTGGCACTAGCAGGAGGTGAAGGTTTTCCAGAAGAAGTTTTTGCAGGGGGCCTTGCGGTCCCGCTGTGATAGCTGGGCAAGCCGCCCCAGCACCGCCCGCTCCTCCTCCAGCTTGCCTTCCTCTTCCACATCTGGGGAGGCCACCTCATGCCCTGCGTCCATGCTGTCCAGCAGGCCCGCCAGCATCTTCAGGATGGCGTCTTTCCGGACTGTGCTCTGTTCCTGTGGGCAGAGAGCAGGGGAAAGTGATGGACGGAGGCCCAGTCCCCCATGGCCATCAAGGCAGGGGGTTGTTGCTGGGCACGAACATCCCCTGTGGGACCCCTTCTCGTTTCCCTGCCTCCCCTGGTGCCCCGTCCTCGGAGCCGATGCTTTTCCTATCGGCAGAGCTGTGCTGGAGCGGAGGAATCTGTGGCTGCAGAGGTCACTCCTCCCTTCTCCTGTCCCCAGTCCAGCTCAGCGGTCTGGACAGGGAGAGGCACATGTGTCATGTCATAACTGGAAAAGAGCTGCTAACAAATAGGCATGAATTAGTTGTGAAGTCCCTTGCTGCCTGCACTAATTAAATTTCATTGAATGCCAAACTGCCTTCTCTCCTAGTTAAGCCTGTGCTCCCTTCGCTGCTCTGGCTGCCCAGCATCCGCTGTAGGAAGGTCAGGGAAGAGGCACAGAGTCCTGAGCAATATTAAATTAAGCACACTCAGGGCTGCAACCCACAGTAAAATGCTGAGAATGAAATGTAACAAAGGAGAGGGCTGGGTTGGTGGGGAGAGAGATGCCCGAAGTATCTGGAGCAAAACGTTTAATCAGTGCAGACAGGCAGCTTGTATTTCAAGAACAAGAACCCTTATTTCAATACCCTGACCTTGGGGGAGGGCAGAATGAAAGAGGAGTTGTGGAGATCCATCCCTCTGCCATAGCAGTATACAAAAGAGCCTGTGGTTTGGGGCTTGAGGGATTTCCATCAGTAACAAGCTGTGAGTTATCTTGTTTCTCCTAACTTTACATCCAGCAAATCTGAGGAATTACCTCTTGCCTGAGTATTCCTGGTCTCTGTGACTCATTAGTGGAGACAGCTGGTACTGGACAAGCTGGGATAGATGGTTTGACAGGAACAGATCCTGTTTCCCATGCAGATGGGAATCTGGGAAGCACATTTCCACGTCACTTCTCACAAATGCCATGTTTACTGCTGGGAGTGCTGTATCTATCCGCTGGCTCTGTCAGTACCAGCATTCGCTAAGGTCCACTTGGTGAGCAACTCAAGAGACAGATAAATACAGGCAGGAGCAATTATTTTGAGTTTACATTACAGAATGTTTATGGATATTTTTTAATCACTTCCTTAGCTCTGTTAACTAACCCTGCTTTCACACAAGAAAAACTGAGGCACAGAAAAATTACATGCTATGTTTGGAGGAGAAGAAAAGATAAAAGCCAGCTTCTGCCCATCCTGATTCCTACTCCTGTGCTGCAAATACAGAAACGTCTTGAACCTTTGGGAGAGGGACTGGGACTGGGGAACCCAGCTAAATGTGTCTCCTGCGTCATGACTTCCTCATAAGATTCTTTCCTAACTCTAAGTGCTATATTTTGAAATAACCTGCTCCAAGCAGAGCCAGCAGCTTCAGACTCAGGGGTGGGGAAGGCAAAGCTCAGCTGCTGTTAGGGGATATTCCTTACGCATGATCAGCTGTGGCTGTTTGTGAAACTAGGCAGCTCTTCCCCTGCACTAATCCATTGCTAACATCCTTTCTGCTTATAGCTGTTCCCGAGCTGCAAGAGATCAAGACTCTTTGGCAGCAGCTACAGATCTTAGCATAGGTGCGTTGTGGCACGCCTTTGGGTAGCTGCTCAATTCCCTGTACTACGTCCACCAGTGCTTGAGAATGTGCAGATCTTTCTTTTGCATTGTTATGCATTTTATGGTCGTTTATATGTAAAATCCCAATATTCTTCATTCTTAAAACATTTGTCTGCGTTACAGCAGTGGTGGTAGGTGGTAGGGATTGGTTCTCCTCAGTATCTAACAATTTTTCAGTTTGTAGAATGCTCTAAAGAAAATCATTATGTCTATTATATCATTATTTTGTAAGCAATAGCATATAGAAGACTTAAGAGTCATGACACTTGAATTCATTTTTACCAAAGCCTTATTTACTGATTTATTCCCTACATCTTGTTTCTTTCTTCCCCAGCAGCTAGGATTTGCACCATAAGGAGTTTACTTTTTAAGTACTGGATTTGTTATTGTAAGAATGTACAGCTGAAAGTTTACAGTTATCCCCAGAAGGGTTAATCGCAGCCAGATGCAGAAGCCCTGATCTCTAACAGAATGCTAGCCCTAGCACCTCACGCTGTATACTTTTCTTTCTCGCAGCCAGTTTTGTTGTTAATGGAATGTGAACCCACTCCTGAAGCAGTAAGACACTGATGGATGAGCTGGAGCCAATGCTAAGACAAAAAATGATGTGGATACGCACAAAGGAGAAGTTAGTGCCTTTGAAACCAACACTGGGATCCTTCACTTCTCTGGCTTGCTCCTCTGCAGGACTGAAATAACAGCAGCCTTATGAACTGGAACCGCTGCGAACTGGACTGGCAGAGTGCAGGGTGACTAACCACAGCTCAGAGGAACCTCAGGGATGGCAAGGAACATGCAGGTGAGAAAACTGCGGGGCAAGGGCAAGTGGAACAGAGCACTTGCTTGTGATTATGTTATGCTATTGCTTCCTACCCCTTTGGCCTCTTAGGGAAATAGTCCAGCAAAACAAAGTTATTATAGTGCTATAGCCATTATAATATTACAGTTTTGCCAGTTGGTAGGATAATTATATTGCTATAATAAGTTCTGCCACTGCATAGAGCTGTGCTGGTTCAGAGTGTAATTATTCTAGCAGAACTATGTCAGTATAACTCCCCTTGTGAATACTACTCTGGAAAAAGCAATTTTATTCTGATATAATTACTTCATTTATTATTCCTCTGTTACTTTCCTACTGAACCCATCTTTTAAACATTTGTCCTTCCCATGAGTCCTATTTAAAATATCTTCTCCCTTGATCATTTTACCAATTACGTATCTTTTCTCTCCTTCCCTAGTACTATGCTTTATTCTCTCATGCTGCACTCTTTCAGCAGTATTATTTTCTCCTTTTCCCTCTCCTCTCTGCTCTGTTCTTTTTGCCAGTTTTTGCTTAGCTCAGACTTCACTTTTGCAGCTCTCTGGCATCTGCCCTGGTACCTTTCCTAAATAAACTGGCTAGTAAGCTGTAGTAATAGCCCATGCTTCAGCAGTGCATGAAGCTGTAGTGCCTTGGAATACAGAGGGGTGGAAGAGTTGTTTGCATCAGGTAAAGCCTAATTGCCCTTATTACCCCTCCCCTGCCTCCAGCCTGCTTCTATGTGCTCCCACCTCACCCAGCTCCTGCACAGGGTGCATTATACTCACCCTAGTGTTCTGTATTGCGAGTCTCTCTTCGCCGGGCAGTGCGGTGGCTCTCACGCTCCACACCAGCAGCAGAACGGACACCAGGCTGGCCACCAGCTGCATGATGTACAGGCTGTGACTACTGCGCTGAATTAGGAAGACTGGGAGAGGGAGCTGTTTCTGGGCTCTCTTCTGCCTCAGACAATGGCTGCAGCCCCTTTTATAGCCCTCCCCCTAGCCCAGTGGGTGACGCAAACAATTAAGTCTATATCAAAGGCAAATTAGACTTTGGAGAGGTTGTTAACACTTGGCTGCTTGAGTGGGATACTTCAGTGCCTCTGGGCTTTCCATGTGCCAGACCTGCAGAGACTGAGGAAGCAAAGGTTTGGGACTCTCCAGTAACATAATGTTTCTTCACCCTGAGAAATTGTAGACACTATCTGTGCCTCTCCTAGTTAGCTGAATTCTACTTGGGAACATAATGTTGGATAGAATAGGCCACCAGCATGCACAAACCTCTGGCCAATGCTAGATGATTCAGAGGGAAGAGGTAAAACTTCTGGCCACCAGTACTTAGATATGGGCTTGGACCCTCAGCCTGTGTGTCCAAACAGCTCCAGACTCTAGGGGTATTTGGATATGGATCTCTGCATCCAGTGATGCATCTCACTGTGGAACACCAGTATGCCTGGCTTTCCCTTTATGGTAACACGGGGACACAGGCTGCAGCTGTGCAGTAATATAATCTGTCTTGCAAATGTACGTAAGGCTACCTGGAAGCCGGCTGGAGGTTACTGGTTTTTGTTCCTAGTATTGTTTCAATATGTCTTGAACCTATCCCAGAAATATAGGTCAAGACAGTGAATCCTGACTTGCAGATGTTGCGTTTAAATGTATTAAAGGGAAAACAAAGTACTGAAAGGCTGGCCGGAGCTAGTGCTACTCTGCTCAGTGAGGCTTCAGAAAAAGGCTCATGGTATGCTGGCACTGACTGCAGGCTGCTTGGAAAAGTTCCTACCATTTCTGATCTCTGGTTAGCTGTTGTTAATAATGCTTCTCCCTTTGCCCAAAATGCTGTCCTACCAGTGAGATCAGTTTGTGGGCCAGCAGAAGGTGCTATTAAGCACTGCTATCTGCTTTGCATTGTCCCCATTATGCGGGGATGGCATCCACTGTCACATGCCTGTGAGATGCAGAGACAGAGCTAAGATCCCATCTCACCACTAGCCCTCTCTCCAGAAGCACTTGCCTCAGGGCAAGTCCTCTTCTGACCCTAAAAACAAAAGGTAAATTGTTAACCTAATTTATCCTAATTTATCCCATTAAAAAAACCCACAGAGTGGTGACTTGGTCAAGGGGATGCTGTGGCAGAACTAAGAACAGAAGGCATAAACCCCTGTTCCCCACTTCTACCACTTACCAGCATTACAGTCCCTGGAAACACCATGATGAAGCTATGCCTGCAAATAATCCAACTCTGAATGCCAGTTACACCACCCTGGATGCTCTTGAAGGAAAAGATGCCATCACTTCCATGCATATTTGAAAAGAAATGCCGGATTCCCTCACTGAAAGATACAAAGAAAAAACCTTTTCTGACTCATATGGACTTGTGGGGAAAGGTGACAATCTAGCAGTTTCTAGAAATGAATTTTCCTCAGAAAACTTTGTAACCTCATTGTTTCTCACCCCCACCTTGTGAGAGCTGGCTTTCATGCGCCAGTTTCAGATGAAACATTATCTGTTTCCTTTTAAACTGATCTTGCTAGTTTATCAGAATTGCTGTGTTAGCCCTTTGTAATGGATTCTGTCAAACACTTCCCAGCCAGTCTGGGACTCGAGACAGAGAGCAGTGAAGTACCAGGCTCCAGCAAGCAGACAAATCACAGGGACTTGCCAAATGACCCGCAGCCGATTTGCTCCGGGAGAGGTAAAAGTGGGAGAATAGCAAATGGAGAAAGCACACTTGGTTGCTCAAGAGGAACGAAGGGCAGGTACCTGTGAGTGTGAGATGTGCCTGGGCTGACAGGCAGGCAGAAGGTAAATCCTGTACTGTTGGTTACGAGACAGGACTAAACCTCGTGGGCCTACTAGCCCAAAAGCTAGACAGACAGCAGCAGTGCAGCCCGGTCTCCATGCTGGGGGCCATCTGGTCTAACCAAACTGCTTGTTCTAATAAATATGGTTTTGTTTGCAGCTTTGCCTTCTAAATGGGCTGTTTTCTGTAAAGCTTCATTGAGTGAACGGGGTTACAAGTATGACAATGCTCTTCTGCCAAAAAAGGGATGATGTGCTGAGCCAGAGATCAGCTTCTAGGGTGGCCCACAGGGATGTAAACTGTGACCAGGCTGCCACAAATCTGTCCTGGGATTAAAGGGCAGTAATAAAACAGTTGTTACCTCTTGAGAGGGTTGGCTTTGGAGAGGGGTTCTGCCAGCACCAAACCTGTGGCCCTGCTGACGAGCACAGTGCAGCCAAAACTTGTACTTCCAGCCTGGGCAAGGCTGGGTGTCTTCCCAGCTGGGAGGGAGGGGAATAGGGACACATCAAAGCACTTACACTCTAGTGTCTACAGTAGGACTGGATCTCTAAATCCAAACAGGTTCCCTCCAGGCTCTGCTATAGCATCCCTCAATATCAGACACCTCTTTTCCAGATTCCTCCATCTTCTCTAGTGCCCTTCTCGCCACCATCTCCTTCTCAGGAAGTAAAATAACTCTGTGGTGATAAAACTTGCTCTTTTTAGTAACTGGAAAGAGTTCAACATATAGCATCAGATTGTTCTTCATTCCTACTGTTCCCTACTCCCTGTTGCATTGGCTGTCTGACCTTTAAGAAGGCCCCAGTTATCTTTTTTGCCAACCCTTAAATGCTATCACTGTGTACAGGAAAGGTTAAAGGTCTTCCCTTGGAGGAATAAACATTTCTGACAATTCTTTCCTTGACTACCTCTTACCACTTTTCTCTCTCTGTTATCTGACTCACCCCTCGAGAAGTCTTCTTCCTTGATGTTCTCTTCTGTCCAGAGTTGCACATGGTCTGAGCGGGTTTCTACCACTTTACAGTGAGGGTAGATCTATCTGAAATCAGCATACCCGTGAACACATTCATGGGAACCTGGCAAGGGTGGGGATGCTCCAGAAGGAAGTTCAGCACACAGTAGCTTGAAAAGGCCTGGATATCCAAGGATTTGGCTCACAGTTAGCGTGGCATCAGCAGAGACGCAGAGTGGGTTCAGAAGTACAGCAGAATATGCTTACATTATCACAGAAGACAACCTCCATCTTTTTGTGATTAAGGGTGCACAAGCAACGTGCAATGGGAGAGGTTTTATCTTTCAAGAAAGAGGTCCTTGAGCTCTCCTCAGTGCGTCTGTACAGCAGCAAAGACTGGGCATTGCTGGAATACAAAAGTTAAGACTATGTCTGGCACCAAACGCCACATTAAGGAATGAGATAATTTCTCAATTGCTTTCCTCTGTGGCCTGGATATTTGCCATCTTCTGCCCACATGTTGCCTGGTCTGGGTTCAGATCACCGTGTCTTGAAGCACGCAGCAGAATTGCATCAGGCTTCCAGAAGAAAGTCTGGTTCCCAAAGGTGAGGCACTCAGCTGCAGCTGAAGGGTTCAAATGCTTCTGCTTTCCTGTCATTGGAACCCTTTCTCTCTGCCCTCAAGAGTCCCTAGTTGCAAAGGCCAATGCCATAAATAAAGCAATAGTCAGCTGACAGTTGTGAGCCTTCCTGGAAGGGGAAACCAATTTGTTCATGGGCCTGAAATCACAGCTCATTTATCAGGCCTGCAGTAGTCCCTCGCACTGCGCTCCCCAGGGGCCTCTGAGAAGCATGCAGGTGGCCATGCCAGCCATGGCTTTTCATCGGCACTAATCTAACAAACCGAAGGAATAGACTGCATGAGCGTGGGCTGGAGCCTACTGCTCCCACTCATCTCCAATAAGAGCTGCAGAGCAGGTGCAGGGAGGAGGAGGGGAGTACCGCAGGGATGCTGCTGTCAGAGCACGCACGACTACAAGCCTGTTACAGCTCTCGAGGGAGGTGGAGCAGGGGGAGTTGTGCTACCTTCCCTGTCTGTCGACCCCAAAAGGACTGCAGGAGGATGAAGGGAGGGCGAGTGTAATGCCTCAGTGGTGTGCTCAAAACCTTTTTTTATTTTAAAATGCATGCGAAGTTAAATGTTTCAGTTATTACAGCAAAAATCTTCCTCAAAAATAACTACATGCTATGAAACACTTCTATTTCAAAATACCTCTATTTTCCACTAAAAATGTTTTGCCTGGCTCCAAGTAGGAGGCGTTTCAGGCTGTGAAGCAGGCTGAGGATGCCTGGGGTTACCACCTACTGACATATGAACTGACCTCTGTTAAACCAGAGTCGTCCCATTGGCGGCAAGATTGGTTGTGCAGGACTTGGATGGAAATGTTTCTTTACCATTTGGATTTCCTGAGGGATCGCGTACGCACTGCACCTTGTGGGAATTCAGTCAGAAAGAGCTCACCAGGGACGTTAACATGCGGGGCTGCCAGCACCGCAGAAGGGACCGCTCGGCTGGGAGAGCTTTAAACAGGAATTCACGCGCTCCACGTAGCGTGGGGTTCTGGTTACTCCTTTCCTACAGCTGAAGGGGGATGAAGCACATGCAGGGTCATCACATGCAACGTCTTGCCCTTAACCTTGACACACAGATTTAGTTTTGTTAAGCAAACTCCTTCCCCGAGATGCCTGGCCGTGGGCTGCTGCTGCTGCTGCAGCCGTTCAGTACCAAGGAGAGGGCAGCCCCCTCTTGCAGGGTCCCTGCTCCGGCCAGCCCTCGCTCCTCACCACCCGCACTTCCAACCCCATGAGCCACACAACTGGCGTCCTTGCAAGGCCTGCCGCTGAGATCCCTAACATTCATAATGATCTCCCTCGCCTTTATCTGCTTCACACATCACTGTGCTATAATTGAGATTCCCTGGCTCTAATTCCCCACCTTTTGCATATTTTAAAAGCACTTAACTCCATCCCATACATGACCAGGAAAGAGCATCACCTAGACTTCTTAGTTTTTAACTTGGTTAAATTTCTCATCTTACTTTTTAACAACATTTTGTCTGAATCTTTTGC